TCACAGCAGAGAAAAAGAAAGGTCCTTTCAAATTTCCTAAGTGGAAAGCTCAGCTTTGTGATATATTATTTCCTCTAGCACCTATTTTTAGAGTCACTAATATTCCATTTCAGACATGTGAGGCTTCATTCGAAGCAGGCCACCTCTCCCTTCCTTGCTGCTCAAATGTCTCCTTCGTGGTTGCCTGCAAAGCTCTGTAGAGGCCAGCAGCCTCTTAATAGAATCTGTGATGTGAATTTTATTCACTCTGATGTTACGGGGCAGCACCTCGCTGCCTCAGAATCCATCCCCCATGTAACTGGCAGAACGCTGAAGTGAGTCAGTCCATGAATCACTCAGGATGAAGTTAGAAATCTCCAGCTGCCACATTGTTCTCATATGCATATTAGAATGAATTAAATTTTCTGTCCTAGACTATGAATCTTATCTCTTTTCCAATTATGTTCCTTGGCTGTATATGTTTTTCCATGAAACTGAAGCAGGCTTCTAAAAATATATGCATTTATTTTATATCTTCCTCTGCTTGATTTAAAATACACCACTATGATTACTCTGAATTGTAAATGACAAACTGAATGAAGAACGCGGGGAATGGTTATGTACTTACAGAATGTAATGAATTTTTTTTCTTTGATAACTCAGGTGGAATTAAGGCTGCAGTTAGGGGCACTTCTGATGCGCTATCCACAGGACCATTCTGGCCACTCCGGTGACCGAATCAGTCAAAATACCCACACTCTTTGCTCATCTCTCTCCTGTTTGCTCCATTTCTGGGAATGGGAGCTGTATGGTTCAGTTCTAAAATGTCATATCCCAAAGAGATCTTCACATCTCTGAATTCAATCCCCTCTGTTTTCCTCGGCTTTTAATTAAACCAAAATCAAACATAATTTTCCAGCACCATCCCACTGAGACAAAGGTGTAATTAATTTCTTGCTCCTAGACCCAGCCGTGTGACTTCCTCTGGCCAATGGGATGTTAACAGATATGACACAAGAACCTTGAAAAGTGCTTATGCAGGTGGGCCTGCTCTCTTGTACTTCTGCTATTGCCATGACTAGAGTACGTGCAGACCAGGCTGCTGGGTCGAGGAGGAGGAAAAGCATACGTGATCAGAACTGCCTCAGCTAGTCTTCTCAGCCAAGCCTAGAGCAGAGTCCGCAGCTGCTCTGCAGGTAACTGAATGAGCCCAGCCAAGATCAGCCAGAATCCCGCCACCTCACAGATACGTGAATTATAAAAATAAATGACTGTCATTTGTAAGTCATTGAGTTTGGGGATGGTGCATGATACACTGTTTTGGAAGCAATAGCTGATAAGTTTGGTCACTTGTTTGGTGGTGTTATCTTCCAGATTTCTCCACTGTAAAAGTTCTTTTTAATCTTTGTAATTTGTAAGTAAGTTATCTGCAGAATGATACTTCAAGACCATGTGAATATCCAGTGACTTAACTGACTGAGCTCCCCAGTGGCATCCCCTTTAGTCTTAAAGCATTTCCTTGTCTCTAGCAGTGTAAGGCATTCTCTCTTGCTGGACTGCATTTGCTAGTATTTTGTTAAAGATTTTTGCACTGAGGCACCTGGGTGGCTCAGTTGGTTAAGCGTCCAGCTCTTGGTTTCGGCTGAGGTCTTATCTCAAGACTCGTGGCTTTGAGCCCTGCACCAGACTCTGTGCTGACAGAGAATTCTCTCTCTCTCCTCTCTGTACCTCCCCTGGTCACACTCTCTCTTTCAAATAAATAAAGAAACTTAAAAAAAAAAGATTTTTACATCAGTTTTCATGAGGAATATTGGTCTGCAGTGTCCTTGTAATGTTCTTGTCATGTTTGGTATCAGAATGGTGTCCTTACAATATGAATTGAGAAGTGATCCCTCCTCCTATGCCTTTATGAAAGAACTTGAGTAGAATGGGTATCATTTCTTCCTTAAATATTTGGTGGACGTCATCAGGGAAGTTATCTGGGACCAAATGATGGTTGTAGGAAGGATGTGAACTATAAATTTATTTAATAAACATAGAGCTATTCAATGATCTATTTCTCCTTTTTTCTAAATTTTTTAATGTTTTATTTATTTTTGAGAGAGACACAGAGTGAGCAGGGGAGGGTCAGAGAGAGAGGGGGTCACAGAATTTGAAGACAGGCTCCAGGCTCTGAGCTAGCTGTCAGCACAGAGCCTGACGTGGAGCTCAAAACCACGAACCATGAGATCATGACCCGAGCTGAAGTCGGACGCTTAACCGACTGAGCCACCCAGGTGACCCGATCTATTTCTTCTTAAGAGAATTTTGAGAGTTTATGTCTTTCAAGGAATTTGTCCTTGACTTACATGAAATGTATTGGATAGCATTGTTCCTAATTTTATTATTATTCTTTTAATATCTGCAAGATATGTTGTGATATCACCTCTTTCATTCCTGATACCAATAATTTATACCTTTTTTTTTTTTAGTGTCTCCAGGGGTTTATCAACTTTACTGGTGTTTTCAAAGAATCTTTTATTTCACTGATTTTCCCTGATATTTTTCTGTTTTCAATTTCATTATTTTCTTATTATTTCCTTTCTTCTGCTTGGGTTGGGTTTAATTTGATCTTTATTTCCTAATTTCTTAAGGTGGAAGCTTATACCATTCAATTTAAGGCTTCTCTAGGGATGCCTGGGTGGCTCAGTCAGTTAAGTGTCCAACTCTTTCAACTCAGGTCATGATCTCATGGTTTGTGGGTTTGAGCCCCATGCTGGGCTCTGCACTGACAGCACAGAGTCTGCTTGGGATTGTCTCTCTCTTGCTCTGCCCCTCCCCTCCAGTCTCTCTCTCTCAAAATAAATAAACATTAAAAAAACTTTCTTTAAAATTTTTTAAATGTTTTTTATTTATTTTTAAGAGACAGGCAGAGACAGAGCATAAGCAGAGGAGGGGCAGAGAGAGAGTGGAGGACACAGAACCTGAGGCAGGCTCCAGGCCCTGAGCTGTCAGCACAGAGCCCAACTCAGGGCTTGAGCCATGAACCGTGAGATCATAACATGAACCGAAGTCAGATGCTTAACCAACTCAGCCACCCAGGTGCCCCATGATTATTGTTTTAGTGTTACATTGATGCAATTTTGGTTTCCTCTTTAACCCCAGAAATATGTACAGTATATATGTTGGTGTGTGTGTGTGTGTGTGTGTGTGTGTATTATTTAAGGGAAGTGGGGATTTTTTGGGGTACTGATTTCTAGTTTTATCTTGATTTTATTGTGCTATACCTGTTTTTTTTATATACTTATTAAGGCCTTTCATGTATTTAAAGTTTGAAAAAATATTCAAAATAACTTTTTTTAAAAAAATTAAGACTTTTTAAGAACAGTTTTAGGTTCACAGCAAAATTGAAGAGAAATACAGAGACTTCCCATATACTGTCTACCTCCTCATATACATAGCACATGGGTAGTTACAAAGGTTTAATATCTGTTTTATAGTATATAGTTTGCGTTAAGTCATTATACAAATATGATGTTCACATCTTTTATATCCAGAATTATTTTTATCTACCTAAACTTTAAAGGACTAAATAAGAGGGTTAGTAACATTTTACCAATATTATTATTTTTCTGGAATTTTATACATATAATAGCTTTGGGTTTCTGCATTTTGGTGTCAGTAATCTGGCACATAATTATTGATGGTGGCAATTTTCTGTCTTTTGTCTTCTCCTTCAAGAAAAAGTCACTTGCCATGGCCTTCTAAGACTTCCCCTTAGGGGGCACCTGGGTGGCTCAGTTGATTGAGCATTCTGACTTCGGCTCAGGTCATGATCTCCTGGTTCATGGGGTTGAGCCCTGCATTAGGCTCTGTGCTGACAGCCAAGAGCCTGGAGCCTGCTTCAGATTCTGTGTCTCCCTCTCTCTCTACCCCTCCCCTGTTCACACTCTGTCTCTCTCTGCCTCTCAAAAATAAAGAGACTTAGAAATCTCCATTTGAAATTAATAACACAGTTCCCACTCTGATTTTGCTTGTATTTTCATAACATATTTTGTTCCCTGTTTTCTTTTTTACCTTTCCTGGTCGCTTGGTCTAGTAATGTACCTTTGGGACAGCATATGGCTGAATTTTATTTTTTACAGATTATGACTTCTTGTGTTTCCTGGGACTTTGGTGCCTATGCCATTATCCCTGCTCTTCCCGAAGTCTCATCTGTGCTCTTCCACATCTTCCTCACTAGTGCTTCCAAGAATACTCTGTTCCTGCCTCACTGGTGCTCCCAAGAGCACTCTGCCCACCTCAGACTACATTACTTTCACACGGCCCCGCTGCCACTTGCTAATTCAAAATTGCATTCCCAGAGCCTTTATCCGTGCCCAGCACCCCAGAGCTTCTCAAAAAAAAATGTGTACTGAGTGGTGATAAGTATAGCATTAGTTAGGATCAAGTTCATTGGTAATAAAACCCAAATATCAGTGCTGTAAAAAAGACTTTATCTCTTCCTTATGTAAAGTCCTTAAGCCTTTAGGCATTTAATCCAGAGCTGGTAAGAAGGCTTTGTTCCACAGAATTTTCCAGTTCCTTCTAAATCACTATTCTGCCATTTCTGTGGTATGTTCCTTCTCCTCGAAATCCAAGATAGCCCACATTTCAGATAACAAGACGGAAGAAAGAACAAAAAAGAACCATCTGGAAGAGTGTTCCAGATATCTGTTAGGAAAGGTTCCTGGAATCTGCCATGCACACAAACACTTCTACTTACACAGCATTAGCCAGAATTTAGTCACACAGCCATTCTTCCTACAAGAGAAGCTGAGATATGTTGTCTTAATCTGGGTAGCTCTGTGCCCAACTAAAATTTTATTCTGTGGAAGAACACTAAAGACCTGAGAAGGCATAGCCTGTCTGTGGAAACCACAAGAAGATGGGAGCTGGGCCATAGTGTGAATGAGGTAGCACGGTAGATCGGCTACGAGATAAGGGGGACCTAAATTGCAAAGTCTTAGTAATGCCAAGACCACGGGTATAATCCTATAGACTGTTTATTAGTGCGGGTCCTGAGAGGAAACAGCACTCTTGGAAGGGCTGGTGTGAGTTCACAAAGGGCCTATAGGAAAGGTAGGCAGGGCCAAAGAAGACGAGCGGGGCTGGCGAAGCACCCAGGGCAGCAACTGCAGGAACCTCCCATCACTTGTAGTACCGCTGAGGCGAGAGAATAACCAGGTGCTGGAACCCAGCAGCTGCTGTAGGAAAGAGGGTGCAGACAAGAGCTGTGCGTTTGGTAGAGGGACATTGCCACCTCGGCGTGAAGCCTGAAAGCAGAACTGGTGATATAATTTGCAGGGCCCAGCACAAAATGAAAAAAAAAAAGGGCCACTTGTTCAAAAACTACTAAGAACTCCAGGATGAGGCCAGCAGAGCATTAAAGCAAGCATGGCGCCCTTCCAAGCACAGGGCCCCGGGCGGCTGTACAGGTCAAACGTCTGTGAAACTGGAGCTGCCCAACGGAGACGTAGCCCAGGGGGAGAGCCCCACACTTCTCTCTCTTCCAACTCTGGCCTTTTCCAGTGCCTGTCCACACCCAAATGGAAGTTGAAGCAAAAGTGCCGAGTGAGGCATTCCGTGCTGGTCGGCCCTGGGGGAAAAAAAGGGATAGTGTGAACCCAGAAGACAAGCAGAGAGTGTCCAGCTCGGCTCTGGAGAGCCATTAGAGATCTTTCAGCAGAGTGACACGTCCAATTAGTGTTTAGGAACAACTTTTTGGCAGCAGTGTGGAGGATGGATTGCAGGGCCTGGAGGCAGAAAGACCAATTAGAAGGCTATTATGTAAGTTCTAGAGTTGCATTCTTTTTTAATATCAAACTCCCAGGAAGAAACAGATTTTATATTTGTAATGCTGACCATATAACACACACAGACACATACAAACGTGTATACATGTGCATGTGTGTGTGTATGAAACCCAGAGTCCACAATACAACACAAAGCCTTATTGAAACAATGCTTCACCTTCCTAGACGCAAAGCACTCTGATTTCGTTTAAAAATGCTGGTTCCATGTTACAGTAATCGTTTCACAGCATATGTAAATCAAACCATCCTATTGTACGCCTTTAACTATTAGGTAATACATGTCAATTATTTTCCAATAAAACTGGAAAAAATACTGCTTCCAAACCACCATGTTGATTAAGAGCCACAGCTCTTAGCTTAAAAAACCTAGGTCTAAGAGTACAAAAGTAGAATAATAGCCCACAAAGATGTTCGTATCCTAATCCCCGGCCCCTGGGAACATGTGAGCTCACAGAGCAAGAGGGGTTTAGCAGAATTGATTTCCCAGAGGACCTTGAGATGGGAGGCTCTCCTGGATTACCCGGGTGGGCGCAACGTGATTACAAGGTCCTCATGAGGGAAGAAGGAAGGAGAAAGGGTTGTTGAAGGAAGTGGTGTCCAGGTGGGACAGCTGGCCACTGGTGGCTTTGAAGATCCTTGGCCATGAACCTAGGACTGTGTTCCTCTAGGAGGTGGGAAAGGTAAGGAGTAGGATTTTCCCCTGGAGGCTTCAAAGGATGACGCCTTGATTTTCTGCAGTGAGACCCATAGGTCTCACATAGCTGTAGAGTTTGTGGCGATTCATTACAGCAACAATGAGAAACCGGTACACAGTGGGAGATGGTGAGAGTCAGAGTGAGGCAGCGTCAGCATGGGGACAGAGAGGAGAGGACTTGATATTCTAGTAGGACCTTTAAATGTGGAGTCCAAGTTATCTCTTAGGGTGGAGGGCCACAAGACAAAGCACAAGTTTCCTTCCTCTAGTGTTTTACATTTGCAAGAGAATTTAAATGAATATCAAAGACTTAGCGAGGTAAAAAAAAAAATCTGTTTTAAAACTCTGTTTTAGTGGCATGACTGTAGGGATTCAGGGCAGTTCAAGACAGTGTGCTGTCAATCTGTGAGCTGACCTGGAAGGCGGAAAAGGCCACCTGGATGGTGTCTTTATTTAGTCCCAGCTGCTTCAGAAAGTTAACTGAACTAGCATTGCTCTCACAGATGACTACATACTCTTGGATGTATGTAGAACTCACAGAGCTGAGCAAATTATGTTGATTTTTTTAGAAATGAAAGAAGAAAGTGCACCAGTACGGAAGAGGCCATCAGCCACACAGTGGGGCTTGCAGACGAATGATCTGTAAATGGGCAGATGACCACAAGTGTTTGTACAAGGTGGTTTGATCAATAGTTGGACACTGGGCAAGTAAGACAGCAACAGCAATTGATATAATGACCAATTTGTATTTATAAGTTTCTTGTTCTGAACGCACAAACCATCTGAAAAAAAAATCTAACAAAAACTAGAAAGTATAATTTAAAATAAATCATTTATAATAGCGGCAGAAAATATAAAACAAGGTGCCTAAAAAAATCTAAATATGAGCAATACCTTTACATAGAAAATTATAAAACATTACAGAAAGACGTAACAAGCTCTAATAAATGAAAAGACATTCCATGTTTGTGGATGGCATGACTATCTTAAAGATGCCAGATCTCTCCCAAATTATTCTAGAAGCACAGTGCAATAGAAGTCATACTTCAATTGACTATGTTCACGTGCCTGCATCTGTGTCCATGCACATGTGTGGGGAACTTAACAAGATAACTCTAAAGCACATATGTAAGAGCAAAGGAGCAAGAATCACTGGGGCTGTTGAAAGTTTTTCCCTCCCAGATGTCATTAGGCTCTGTCCAATAGGACCATGCAGTGTAAGAGCAGGAAAAGAGACACAGGCTACTGGGACAGAACAGCGACAGATCAGGCACCCACATAACCATCGTCAATGACAGAGGGACACCACAACTCAGAGGGAAAGGCCATGGGACAAATGATTGTCAATAGGAAAAAACATAAAAATTGGACTTGGACATGGAAAGCAAAACTGAAAACTTAGAAAGGTATAGGAGAATTCTCTTTTAACATCAAGGAAGGAAATAAAGTCCAAGATACAGACACACAACAAAAAGGAAAACATAGACTCATTCAAGTACACTAAAATTTAAAAACTTTGAGTACAACCAAAGACACCGTAAACAACATGAAAATGTGAACGAAGCCTAAGGGGGAAAATTGTAAATACAGGTTAATTAATAAAGGAGCAGCATCCAAAATATGTTAATTCTACATACCAGTATGAGCCAGCCAACCCAGTAGGTAAGCAGTCAATGGATATTAGCTGGCAATTCATGGAAGAGAAAACCTGAGCCACCAGTGGATATACAATGGCCTGTTCCACTTCACTCATCAGTGAGGAAGTGAAAACAAAAATGAGATCCCACTCTCACCAAAGGGGCAACGGTTTTAAAATGTGGTGCTATCAGGTGTCAGAGAAGATGTAGAGAAAAATACCTTCATACTTTCCTGGTAGGAGTGTAAACTGGTACAAGTATGTATGTATGTATGTATGTATTTATTTATTATATTTGTTTTTGAGAGATCAAGTGTAAGTGGGGAAGGGGCGGAGAGAAAGAGGCAGAATCCAACAAAACAGGCTCTGCACTGACAGCAGAGCCTGACGACACGTGGCTCGAAATCATAAACCCTGAGATCATGACCTGAGCCGAAGCCGGATGCTCAACCAACTGAGCCACCTGGGTGCCCCCTGGTATGAGCATTTTACAGAACAACCTGATGATATCTAGTGAACTTGAAGAGGCACAAACCTGACAACCTGCAATTCCATTCCTAGGAATGTTTCTTAGAGAAACTCAGGCATGGGCATAGGATCCAAGCATCATTTCTACTGAAACAAAATATCCATCAGTAGGAGACTAGACAAATAAATAGTGACCTTGTCACCCAATGAAGTACAGTATGATAGTTAGAAATGAATTAACCAGAGCCTTGTATATCCCCTCAGATAAATCCCAACATTATGTTGAAGCAGAAAATCAAGTTGTAGTAAAATAATTGTAGGAGCACAGCATGCAAAACACTCTTTTTTGTGTATACAAACATACATATGAAAATTATAAAACATATATCAAAATGGTAAGCACCAAACTCAGAACAGTAGTTAGGTTGAAAAAAGGTGGAGGGGCACTTGAGTGGCTCAGTTGGTTAAGCATCTGCCTCTTGGTTTTAGCTCAGGTCATGATCTCACAGTTTGTGGGATTGAGCCCCACATCAAGCTCTGCTCTAACAGCACAGGGCCTGCTTGGGATTCTCTTTCTCTGTCTCCTCTCTTTGCTCCTCACCCTTGCGCTCTCACTCACTCGCTCTCTCAGAAAAAAAGAGGGAGGTGAATGGAATGGAGGAGGGTGGGAACACATAGAAGGCTGTATCTGTAAGGTCTTATTTATATCTTACGCTCGTTATTCTATTTTATGCTTTTTATTTACACATCCTTATGTGCATGAATAATTCTATTTAAAAACTGAGCCCTTCACCATGGCAACAAAGCCACCCCCGATCTTGCCCCTCTGAGGTTGTCTTTGCCGTCCTTTCAGGCTCCTGTCCATCACTCCTGTGCACTGCTGGGCTCTAAATATACCAAAGTTTTCTGTTTTTCCCTGAATATATTCCTTTTCACAGCTGCATTCTTTTGCTTATGCTGTTCCCTCCCTCTAAGGCCTTCGCTTTGAGACCCCATGTGGAAAACTCCATCCTTCCAGATTCATTTTCTATTCATCTGTCTCTGGTGTTCTCCAAGGAGATGCCTTTTAAACTTTAGCATGCATAGGAGTCAGCCTTAGATCTTGTTAAAATGCAGGTTCTGATTCCGCAGGTTTGGGTGAGGCCCCCATTCTGCCTTGCTGATAAGCTCTCCTGCATGCTGACAGAGGTGCGGGTCAGACTCACACTATGAGTAGCCAGGCCCTTCTTCTTGGGCAAAGTTAGAAGCTCCTGGTTCTGGATTTCCATAGCTTCCTCTACATCTCTTATTACAATATCTATTGCATTGTTCTGCGTCTCTTTTTTATATCCACCTTTTTCATGAAACTCTGAAAAGCAGTTATCTCTTAAGGGTAGTAATCCTGCCAAGGGCCAGCACCTAGCATTCCCTCGCTGAATATTGGAAACTTTCCAGTGTTGAGAATACAATTGCCTGTTGCACCTCGGGTAAAACCTTATTAAATGTGTTCAAACATTTCTGTGTTTTACATCCCAGGCCAGTAGCAACAGGTAGGCAGGGCAGTAAATACATACTGTGTGCAGATCTGGTCTGAATAAGTTCCTAATTATGGTGCTCAACTGGAGAGGTGAACTGGAAACCCTTAAAAAGGTTCAGAACCCTTAGGGCAGAGAGAGCTTTGGAGATCCAGGGGATTTTAGTGACTTAGTCACCGGGCATGGATTTTGTTCTAAACACTAAGGTGGCTTATGGGAGGCTTGTCGACATGTTCTCATTTAGGCCCTCTGAGAAGGATTGAGAGGGCAAACAAGAGCTGCCTGATGACTCACAGCCTGGCCAGGGTTCCTGCCCGCCGGGAGTCTTCTCCCTGGCCCTGTTGCACCCTGCTGAGCATACCTGCGGCAGCGGGCGGGTGCAGGGAGGGTGCAGGCCAGCACGTGCTCCCACCTGCCCACCCCATCCCAACTCTGGCACCGCCCCTTGGAGGCTGTGACCCTCTGAGCAACTTACTTCACCTTTCAGGACCTAGGAGTACCAGCTTTTAACAGACCAAATATCGCATGGACATATACTGAAGACGTACTCCTTGTTTATCTGAAATTCAGTTGTGATTGGGCAGGCAGTATTTTATCTAGCAAAATTATCAGGCCTCAACTTCTTTATTTCTAAACTGAGGTGCTAATGGTATCAACCTGATCAGGTCGTGAGATTGAAATGATTTAATATATGGAGAGGACTTAGAATAGGACCCGGCTCAGAGTGAGTGCTCAGTACGGTGGCCTTATGACTTCTCCCTCACCGTCCGTGTCACCCACATCTCCTGCCAGAGCCTTTACCCGAAGTTCTAACTGGCTGCTGTAATTCTAGTTCCTTCTCCCTCCTGCCAACCTAAAGCTGGGGCTGCCAGAAATATTTCTATGTCTCAAAAATAGAAATCTGGTCATGTACTTAAAACCCTACTTAAAATCTTCTAATGGCTCCCTGTTACCCATAGGATGAAATCTACATTCCTCAATTGGGGGGACTTTCAAGACTTGTACCCCCCTTTTCTTTCCGGTCTCCATTCCCACTGTCCCTCTCTGTGATTCCATGCCGAGCCTACACCAAACCATGTCCTGCCTCAGTGCCCTCTCTTGGTGGCTGCCCGTACCCAGAATCCTTTTCTCCTGGACCCCTTTAAACCCCTTCTCGGCACGACTGCTATGAGCCCCTCACACCACTTTATACAGACCTTCATCTGTTCCTGTGTCACTGTAGTAAACTTGTTTCAGTCTTTGTGTTATATTTCCTTTAACAGTATAATATGTGTGTGTGAATTAATTTTAATCCATGACCGGGTGCTTTTAGTTACTATTTGAATTATCTTCATCAGGAACTCATATATCCAGGGTGGCAGGTGAACACTTAAAAAGCTGCCCAACTTCAAACATTCTTATTCACGTCTGCACCAGAGGACTTGCTCTTTGAGTAAGGGACGTGGAAGTAATTTCTCGCTTATCGAATGGGTGGCATTCAGAATATACAGTAGAGCAGAAGGACTTCCAGATGTCCCCTCGTGGGCAGAACAGAGAAAACCCCAGACCTACACCGCCACAGCCCCGGGTGTGGCACCTACTGGAGGCATCTGCCATCTGGTTTGATTCATTTGATCTGTTGTCGGGATACAGTTGCATTTGCCTCAGGAGGAACTTTCAGTGCAAGGTGTTGGGGGTCTGAAAGAATACAGAGCAAAGACTTCACTGAAATTACAGAACAGGTTGAGAGCTGGTTTTTTTACTTGCTTGCTAATAAAAGTTGGCTCAACTTGTGGACAGTGGGTAAGCTGTGCCCTCATTGTGACACACCACCTGGTAGGGAGGTGGTGGGACAAGGGGCATCTGTGTCCTTCCTTGTACCCTAAGCACTGGAGGCCATTGTCATCCACCAAAAGGGACTTGATCATGAAACCAAATTGGTTTAGATCAGTTTGCAACACTTTGTGTGTCCAACTAAAGATGACCTCAGGAGTCGGGACCTATGTCTTTGACTCCAGCCCCTCCCCCTGCAGCTGGCCCAGCAGCAGGTGTGCAGTACGGATGAGGCTACAGGACCCTTGAAAGACCCTTATTGCAGAGCCAGCTTGAAAACGTTGAGACAGAATCAGACATCCAACTAGCAAATATGATCGGGCTGAAAACATATTAAAAAAACAAAGGATACGTGAGAAAGGTACCCTTTGATATAACTTCCTTGAAATTCTCTAAGAAACAGCTATCCCTCTTGAGAATTCATGATACATAACATCACATTGGCGTTAAAAGTATTGAAGAATGTTTTAAAAACACAAATTCCCCCTCAGGCACTTTACCTCTGGGGATTCTTCCTCAAGCCTACAATCTTAGTCTAACCAAGAGAAAACATCACTCTAACCCAAATTAAGCAACATTTTACAAAACATCTGGCCAGCACTCTTCAAAACTGTCAAGTTTATGGTAAACAGGGAAACTTGACTGAGAAACTGTCAAGATCAAAGGAGCCTTTAAAGAGAAATCCTAAAAGTGCAGTGTAGGATCCTGGATGAGATCTCAGAACAGAAAAAAAGACATTAGTGGGAAAATGGATAAAATCCAGATATGTCTGGAGTTTAACTGATGGTACTGTACCGATGTTAATTTCTGAGTCTTGACAAATTTGACGACGGTAGAAATGAAGAGGAATCTTGTTTTTGACAATAATAAAGTCGAACATTTCAAGGTAAGTCATGTATGCCAAGGAGAGCCACCTGCCTGGCTGGACCTGATCCTGACCCCTGGCCACCAAGGTCCTACCTGCTTCTCAGTCAGAATCTTGTTTACACTTGGTTAATCTGTGCGGCTTTGTTTAAGGATAGATGTCTGGCTATCGTGTACAATCGGCTTTGGGAGAAGTCAAATAAACCTCATCGGGGCTGCGTCTGCAAAGCTGAAGGGATAAAGAATCACAAACATCACAGCATCACATTCCTTTCTTCTAATAAAGATTAAACATTGAGACCTATTGCCTTCAAGTGTCTCACGCAGTACTTGGCACACTTTTGTTGTATCGTAAATATTTGCTGGCTTCATATTGCCCCAGTTCAGAGATGCCCACTTACTTTGATGGGGGAAGAAAGAAAAGGACCTTCAAAGTGGATAGGAAACTGAGCTCTTTCTGCTGATGTTGGCTTTGGGGCCTTTAAGTGCAAGAGGAGGGAAACTTGAACTTTTTAACTAGATATGTAGCTATTCCACATGTTTGTTGATATAAACAAATGAAACAATTGAATGAGTCTTTAATGTTATACAATGAGTGTTTGCAAAATAATTTATTATTTTTTTCATTGTAAAATGAATAAGACCCCCTCTAGAAAACTTTGAAGGAAGGAAAAAGGCAAAAGTTACACCTCATAATTCCACAACCCAGAGACAAGTAACATTAATATAATGGTGATTCCTTTTTATGCATAGATATTTTATGATTGGAATCATAGTGTACACTTTTTAATGTTTATTTTTGAGAGAGAGCGCACACGTGCACACAAGCAGGGGAAGGACATAGAGAGAGGGAGACACAGAATCTGAAGCAGGCTTCAGGCTCTGAACTGTCAGCACAGAACCCGACAAACTACGTACTGCAAGATTATGATCTGAGCCAAAGTTGGCGCTTAACCGACTAAGCCACCCAGGCACCCCCATACTGTACATTTTTTAAAAGATTGTTCTCCACTTGACAATAAACTATTTTTAAAAAATAAAAAATTAATTAATGTTTTAAAAAAGATTGTTCCATCAATCAGTCTTCTCATTTTAAAAATAATAAATAATATTGGCCAATACTTATGTAGCACTATGGGCCAGATGATATTCTAGGGCTTTACATATACTAACTCATTAAATCCTCACAACAATCCCATAAGCTGGTTACTGTATTCATTCTTGTTTTACAGATGAAGAGAGTGAGGCACAAATTAGTCAAGCATCTTGCTCAGGATTATATACATTTTGATATTTGGTAAAACCACTTTACGTGGATGAACTAGGACTTGAACTAGATGATGTCACTTCAGAACCCACATCTCTAATCATGACACTACAGTTTTTCCCCATTAATTCATTAATTCATTTATGAAGTGTGAAACTGTAGAAGCCACCTCTAAAATGATGCTCACCTCCTGGAATTCATTCCCATGTATAGTCCTCTTCTGTGAATCAGGATTAGTTTTTGTGTGTGATAGAACATTGTAGAAGTAACCTTGTGTGACATCTGAGGCTAGGTCATAAAAGGCATTGCAGCTCTTCCCCTGGGTCTCAAGGGTAGCACTGACCCTGGGGAACATCAGCTGCTATGTTGTGAAGACTTCGAGGATAACTGTGAAGAGGAACCCACTCCACTTGGCAGCCATGGAAATGAGGTCCATTGGAAGCAAATGCTCCAAACCCAGTTGAGCTTTAAGTGAGTACAGCCTCTGCTGACCTGACTTATCCTAATGAGAAATTACAAGCCCAGATACCAAGTCAAGCTTCTCCGAAATTCTTGACCCATAGAAACTGTGAGAGAAAATACATACTCATTGTGTATTTAAGTTATTAAGTCTGGGGACAATTTGTTACACAGCAATTGGATAACTAGTACAGAAAACACTAGGAAAAGTATGGGGAAAAAATCACTGCGAATCTGACAATTCCAAAATAACTTCGTTATAACTTGTATAGACTTCCTCCTTTTTAAAAAATGTTTTATTTATTTTTGAGAAAGTGTGAGTGGAGGAAGAGCAGAGAAAGAAGGGAACAGAGAATCCAAAATGGGCTCTGTACTGACAACAGCAAGCCCGATGTGGGACTCATACAACTGTGAGATGATGACCTGAGCTGGTTGGATGCTCAACCCACTGAGTCACTCAGGTGCCCCTAGAATTCCTTCTTTTTATGCTGAAACATACTTAAACTAAATGTGTGTCATTTTAACTTGGTTCATAATGTAAATTCATTTTTGTATACTGCTATTTCCCAACTTAATGTGTAAATAAATATCCATGTCATTAGAAAATTCTTCAGAATTTTAATATGTTTAATGGCATAAGAAACAGAAGTTTAATGGCTTTATAAACTCACACTAAATGAAGGGGACCCAATTAAGCTCTATTTTTGGACATTTAAGTCATTTCCATGTTTCTGCTAAATACCTTGGAAAGAGACAGTATAGCAAATTGTCAAGACCACAGCCTTTGAATTCTGTGTATACAAATTCTAGTTCTGCAACTTCCCTAGTGCAACTTTGAGTAAATTCCGTAGTCTGTGCTGTGTTTCCTTTATCTATAAAATAAGGAATGCAGTGCTTTTGCTGGCACCACTTCTTTTTTATTGAGGTAAAATATACATAAGTTACCGTTTTAACCATTCTGAAGTTCAGTGGCATTAAGCACCTTCCCATGTGTGACTATCACCACCATCCATCTCCAGAACTTGTTCCTCATCCTAAACTGAAACTCTGCATCTACCAAGCACTAGTTCCTCATCCTCTCCTACACTTAGCCTCTGGTAAACCACTGTTCCACTTTATGTCTCTGTGGATTTGACTACTCTAGGTACAATATTTGTCCTTTTGTGTCTGGCTTATTTTCCTTAGTATGTCTTCGAAGTCCCTCTGTGCTGTAGCACGTATCCAAATTTCATTCTCTCCTAAGGCTAAATAATACTCTCTTGTATGTATATACCACATTTTGTTTATTCAGTCTTCTGACGATGGCCTTTTGAGTTGTTTCCACCTTTTGGCTATTGTGAATCATTATTCACATAGCAGCATTCTTCTGTGAACATTGGTGTATAAGTACCTATTTGAATCCCTTTCAGTTCTTTGGGGTATACACCTAGAAGTGGAGTTGTTGGATCATATGGTAATTTTGTGTTTAATTTTTGGGAGAACAGCCATACTGTCCTCCACGGTGTTTGGACCATTTTACATTCCTGCCAGCAATGCACATGGGTTCTCCATGTTCTTGCCAATATTTACTTTCTGGGGTTTGGAGGGTGGGCAGTAGAGAGGAGTTTGAGAATAGCAATTCTAACTAGTGTGAGGTGGTATCTTACTATGATTTTGATTTGTGTTTCCCTAAAGATCAATATTGTTGAGCATCTTTTCATGTACTTATTGGCCATTTGTATATCTTTTTGGGAGAATTGTCTATTCATTTCCCCTCTTGACCCCTTCTTTTTGGAAACTTATTTGCCTTTACTTCCAACACTCTGCTTTCCTCTGGCTCTCCCCTCCATCCCTCTGCTCATCTTCTAATTTCTTTTTCTTCTTTTGCTAAGCTTCTCATCTTACTGTGATAGAGTTCCTCAGAGTTAGGTCTTTGATCTTCCCAGTATTAATTTTGCCCATGCCACCTCAAGGAATCTAATGGCTGCTGTGAGATTCAAGAAATGGAAGCAAGGAAGAAATTAGGTATTCAATTAATATATTATAAATAAATGAATAAAATGAAACAGAGGAATAGTTAAATAAAGGAAGAAAAATTGAATACTAAGAAATGTTGAGGTAATCACAAGAAGTCAGGAAAGGCAAAAAAATGAAGTGATATTATATAAGATGAAGAATGAAATTTTGCCGTTTGTGACAACATAGATTGATGTCAAGGGCAATATGCTAAATAAGCCAGAGAAAGATGAATATCATATGGTCTCTCTTATAAGTGGAATCTTGAAAATGAATAAAAGAAGTGAAGCTCTGGGGTGCCTGGGTGGCTCAGTCGGTTAAGTGTCCGACTTCTGCTCAGGTCATGATCTCACAGTCTGTGGTTTCAAGCCCCGCGTTGGGCTCTATGCTGACAGCTTGGAGCCTGGAGGCTGCTTCAGATTCTGTCCCTCTCTTTCTCTGTTCTTCCCCAACTCGCACTCTGTCTCTCGCTCTCTCAAAAATAAATAAAATTTAAAAAATTATTTAAAAAAAATAAAGTGCAGCTCATAGATACAGAGAGCAGATGGGTGGTTACCAGAGATGGGGTGGGGGAGGGGTGGGAGAAATGAGTGAACTATTTTTGCTTTTAGTTTAAATGCATTGAATTTTAAAAAGGAAGATCAAATTCAGAGAACTCAAATTTACTCTATTCAAAATTTATTACAAAGCTACAGTAATCAAGACAGTGTGGTGCTAGCCTAAGGACAGACATGATCATCAGTGGAATAGAGAGTTAAAAAGTCCATAAATAGAACAGAGTGTCCAGAAATAAACCCATATGCATACAGCCAGCTGATTATTGACAAGAGTGCCAAGACCATCAATAGAGAAAAGAGAACAGAATAGGTTTTTCAACAAATAGCACCAGGACAACTAGATAGCTACATGCACAACAGTAAGTTGAACCCCTCCCTCACAGCATATACAGAAATGAACTTAAAATGGAGCAAAGACGTAAATTGAAAACTCTTAGGTACAAATCTTTGTGACCTTAGATTAGGTAATGATTTCTTAGATATGACACCAGAAGTACAAGTAACAAAAGAAAAATTGTATAAGTTAGACTTCATCAAAATGTAAAGTTTTGTGCTTCAAAGTATACTATCAAGAAAGTGAGAATAAGAAGAGAAAATAAGAGACAAGCTTTGCAAATCATGTCTCTGCTAGAACTAGAGGGAAAAAACGATTACAACTCAGCATTAGAAAGGACATTTTTTAAAAGCGGGCCAAGGATTTTAGTAGACATGTCTCCAAAGTAGGTATAAAAATGACCACTAAGCACAAGAAATGATGTTCAACAACATTAGTCATTAGGGAAATGCAAGTCAAAATCAGAATGAGTTGTGAATTCACACCCACCAACAGAGCTACTATAAAAAAGCAAAACAAGGGGCACCTGGGTGGTTCAGTCAGTTAAGTGTCCGACTTCAGCTCAGGTCATGATTGCATGGTCTGTGGGTTCGAGCCCCATGTCAGGCTCTGTGCTGACTGCCAGCTCAGAGCCTGGACCCTGTTTCAGATTCAGTATCTCCCTCTCTCTCTGACCCTGTCCTGCTCACACTGTCTCTCTCTCAGAAATAAATAATTTTTTTTTTAATTTAAAAACAAAACACACGAGAAGTTTTGGAGAGGATGTGGAAAAAGTGGAGCATTGCTGTTACGAGTGCACAATGGGAAACAGTTGGTATTTTTTTCAAAAGGTTAAACAGAGTTAGCATATGACCCATTAATTCCACTCCTAGGTATATACCCCAGAGATCTGAAGATACGTATTCACACATAAACATGTATGCAAATATTTACAGCAGCATTCTTCTTAAGAGCCCAAAAGTGGCAACAGTCCAAAGGTCCATCACCTGTTGAATGAATGAACAAAAGCAGTACACCCACACAATGAAATATTGTTCAACCTTAAAAAGGAATGAAGTACTTAAACTTGCTGCAGCGGGAATGAACCTGGAAAACATGCTCAGTATAAGAACCCCAACACAAAGAGCCCCCCATCGTATGATTCCATTAACATGAAATGTCCCTAATAGGCACATCCATAGAGACAGAAAGTAGCTTAGTGGTTGCCAAGGGCTGAGGGAAGGAGTAAATGGAAAATAACTCCTCATGAATTACAGAGTTTCTTTTCTGGAATTAAATGGAGTTACTAGTGATGGTTGTACAGTCTTGTGTAAATCTTTAGTAAACCACAAAATTGTACACTTTAAAATAGTGAATTTATGGTATATGAAGCATATCTCAAAATAAAGAAAGGTATGGAAAGAGGAAATGCTTTCCAACTCAGTTAGTGAGGCCAGTATCACACAGTGACAGTCTCTTTGACACATTAGCTTGTCTATACTAGAGCCCTAGTCATGGAGCGCTGAGTTTGCCATGTGGGTATTTTGTAGATGTGATTAAAGTCCATAATCAGTTGACTTTACTCAAGAGGGATTATTCCAGATGCTCCGGGTGAGGCTAATCTAGAGCAGAGCTTTTGCCTCCCAGAAGAAGAAATTCTCCCTGTGGACTGCAGCTTCAGCTCATGCCTGGCCTGCCCTTCCTGCTGGCCTGATGGATTTCAGACTTGCCTTATCTGCCCCCACAATCACATAGTCCTCACAATTAATCTCTTAATGCATCTTCTACCGGTTCTATTTCTCTGATTCAACATTGAATAATACCGATATCAAAACCAGAAAACAATATTACCAAAAATAAATAGCGGACCAATATTCCTCATAAACATAGACACAGAAATCCTTAATAAACCATTAGCCAGTCAAACTCAGCAATACATATACTATGGCCAATTTGAATTTATCCCAAGGGGTGCCTAGGTGGCTCAGTTGGTTAAGCTCCAGCTTCAGCTCAGGTCATGATCTCACAGTCCATGGGTTCGAGCTCCATGTCCGCCTCTGTGCTGACAGCTCAGAGCCTGGAGTCTACTTCAGATTCTATGCCTCCCCCTTTCTGTCCCTCCCCTGATTAATTTCTGTCTCTCTCT